CGGCTGATGGGTCAGGAGCTGTGGCGGTGTTGGGAGCTGGTGGCCCCGGGGTTCAGGACCCCAGGTGTGCTCTCCTCACCTCCCAGCATCTCCAGGAGTAGGAATAGGTGGGGCCCTGAACACCGAGGGCAGCCCCCTTCCCCGGCAGACCGGCCCTGGCTACATCCTCAGAGACAGTCAGTGGACAGAGGGAGAGGCGGGATGTCCTGCCCTCACTGGAGTGCAGGCCCCTCAGCTGGGCGAGCGGCAAAGCAGGCTGTCTGGCAGGCGGGCCCAGGGCAGCCTGTGGCCCCTGGTGCCCAGCAAGGGTCAGGCTGCCTGGAAGGAAGCAGCCGCTGGCTCAGGCCGGCTGGGGCATGGCTGACCAGTGGAAGACACCCCAGGACTCTGGGCCGCATCGGAACCTCCAGCCCAGGCAGTGGTCGGGCTTCTCCACGCTCAGGCAGTGTGGACACCACTAGGCCCCGCTGTCATCTCCAACCCCCAGCCCCAGTGAAATCCCAGGGGCCCTCTGCTCTGGCTGCCCCACCTGGGCAGCCAACTGAGGGTCCCCCAGGACTACTAAGGCTCTGGCTCCAGCGTGACTGCTCACAGCCCCCTCCTGCCTCTTCTCTGGTTTGTACTGCCTGGGGGCTGCGGGGGGCGGGGGGAGGGAAGGGTGGTGGGGCGGGTGCCAGGGCACATGCCTGCAGGGACAAGGGGGCCTGTGAGCTGAGGGACGCCCAGCTGCTCCCTGAAGCTGGGCGAGGAGTGTGGGCCTTTGAAGACAGCGTCCGGGTCACCCTCGGGACGCCTCAGATCTCCGCCCTCATGGGACTGCGAGGGTCCCGGTGGCTCCTCTGGCCCCCTGGCGCCCTGCCCTTGAGTCTGGGTACATGCTGGGCACCCTGTCCTAATGCAGCACTCCCCCTCTGACAGACGGGGAGACTGAGGCATGCAGAAGGTCAGTGTCTCAGTGGAGGGCACCCAACCAGGCAGGAGGGCAATTTAGCCCCAGGGCGGTCCGGTCTCGCCAGCCGCCCGACTGCTGTGCCTCCCGGCCTAGGTGCCTGTGTGTCCACAGCAGGATCTGGGGGTGCCAGGGCTCCACCCATGTGGCCACCACTTGGGGGAGGCGCCCACTCAGGATGCAGGGAAAGTTGGAAGCCTGGGCTAGGAGGCCGCAGTGACCATCCAGGTGACGCTCCTCAGTGCGCAGGTGCCAGGGGGCGGAGTCCTGGCATGAGCTGGACCAGGGGAGGGGCAGCCTGTGTGCTCAGAGCCTGGGGGTGGGGGGAATGATACAGGGGGCCCCTCTGGCCGCAGTGGGGCATGGGTGGCACTGCCTCTGCTGCCTCCTTTCCTGCCCTCTCTTCTGTGTCTCCCCACCCCGCAGAGCTCCCCTCCTTATTTCAAGGCCTTGAGGCCATGATGCCACAGACGGGGCCTTGGAGGTGGGGCAGAAGTGACAGGGCACTTCCCAGTAGACTGCAGCCAAAAGTCCGGGACCACCCTCTGGGGCACCTGCCCCCTTTCCCCAGTGTGGGGCACCCAGCCCTGGGCTGGGCCCCGCTCAGCACTGCGGTTTGTTGAGGTGCTGGGGAGGGAAGTCCCAGCCCTTCACCCTGCAGGCAGCGCTGGTCTGAGCCTCCAGACCTCTGGGCAGGCCCCCACCCCACCCCAGTGCCTGACTCAGGGTCCAAACAAGGCGTGGGCTGCAGCCGGACTCCCGAGAGACTGGCCCCGGCTCCTTCAAGAGCAGTGATGACGCACACGCTGATGTCAGCTGAGCTCCTATCACACGAGGCCCTGTCCGAGTGGTTTCACAGCTTACTCATTTAACGCCCGCATCCAGATGCGATGGCTACCCCCCATTTTACAGAGGCGGAAACTGAAGCCCAGAGAGATTTAGCTATGTGGCAAAGGTCACACAGCCAGTATTTGAAACCAGGCAGTCTGGCTGTGGCTCTGTGGGCTTCTATGCTGGCCTGTCTCAAGAGCACTGAGTTCAGTGCCCCCCCCACAGTGGGTCTCATCAGCGTGCAGAGGGGGCGCGAGTTTGGGGAGCGCAGAGGCAGGTGCAGACTGTGCAGTGCTCCCTCACCCAGCTGCCCTGAAACATCCACGGTGACTGGGACCCCAGGATTCCGATGCCTTTGGGGTCTCTGGAGCCAGGGCTGGTCTGGACGGAGGCTCTGCTGCACCCTGCCAGCCCCCACGCTGCACCCTGCCAGCCCCCACCCCCTCCCTCCAGGTGGCAGCGGGACTAACCTCTCCGGACCTGGCCCAGAGAGGGGCTGCCTCTGACCAGTGTCACACAGCCCAGTTCTGAAGCCCACAGGGCCCGATGCTGCAGGGATGTCCCAGGGTGGCCCAGGGCTCAGGACTGTGCCTGCGGGGTCCCCCTCAGGTCCCTGACTGGGCCTCGCTTGCTCCTTCTTCACCGCATCCTCCAGGTGACTGTAACGGGCCTTGGGTCCCTGGGTCAGGAAGACAGCAGCTTTGACTCAGCCCCACCCCACAGAACTCTGCCCCGCACCCCACCCACCCTCCCACTGCCTAGTACCCTGCCATCAGCTCATGGAGGGGCCAGATATGCCCATATCTTCTACCCACACCTCCCTCCATCATTCCGACGGGGATGGTGTCTGCACCAGCGTCACTAAGACGTGAGTGGGGTGACCCACAGGCTGGTTAAGCTGTGAACTGCCTGGCAGAGCGTTGACCCCGCGAGTCTCAATGGGGCTGAGAATCTGCGCACTGACGGATGCTGCCTGAGGTCTGCAAACCAGCTTGAGGACCAGTCTACAGAGTGCTGCCCTGTGCAAGGACAATGCAGTCACACGAGTACTCTAACTCTTCGCAGTGTCGTGTTCAAGAGTAAGCAGGGGCCTCCCTGGTGGCGCAGGGGTCAGTCCCAGCACGATCAAGAGATCAGCCACTGCTGCACGAGTCCAATCCCTGGCCAGGGAGTGACCGCTCCTGTCTCTGTGTCGCTCCCCTCAGCAGCGGGTTGGGTGGGTCTGCCTGCTCTGCTCCCCATTCTGTCTCTGGTGAGTCCTTTCATTCCCCCCAACCTCTGGCCTACACCCCAGTTCTTATATGCATAAATAAATAAGAATAAATATTTTGAAAAAAGTAAGCAGGTGAAATTACATTTTAACCATGTAATCTAGCTTACATATTCAAAAATGACCAGTTGCACAGTTCATTTGTATATATTCTGCATTCTTCCGGGGGGTATCGGGTCGCTGTGCTCCGTGTATGCTTCACACGCCCAGCGCACCTCCGCTTGGCCGGTCACATTTCCAGACTGGAGAGCCACGTGCGGCCGGCGCTGCTGCGGGGACCGGCCCAGCGCTGACCAGGTGCTGAGACACGTGCTTCCCGGCTGCGCCCTCTGCCGGCGGCTCCCAGCACTGCCGTCCGAGGCCGAGCCCCTGATGGGCCGCAGGTGCTGGCTCCGCATTCCCCACCTGATCGCTGGAGAGCGCCGGGTGGGGTGGCCTAGGAGCAGCAGCGAAGCTGGCGCCAGTGGGAAGAGGACTGGTCACCTTTCAGCCAGGGCAGGGGCGCTTTGCTGACAGCAATGCGGGATTGGGCCCTAGTCACCCACTGAGAGCCACATGCACGCTTCCCTTAACCCTAGCTGCGCAGGCTCTAAGTCACGATTGTACCCTGGGGCTCCTAGTGCCCAGCTCACATGGGACCCTAGATTGTGCAGCACAGTTCAGGACCTGGCCGACACTCAAAGAACATTTTTCTGTGTTTTCCCTCGAGACTGCCCCCAAACCCTGGGCTTTCACAGGACTGGCCTTCCTATTTGCCCCACCCCCACTCCGCACCCCGCGGGGCCTGCGAGAGGGCCCCTCGGTGCTCGCGCCTGCGGTGGCTTCTCGCCGCCACACGGGGGCGCAATTGCAAACTAAGGGCCCCCAGTCCTACACAGAGGGGAGCCGGAGCCCCTGGGCCCACGGAACGTGTGACAATGGCCCTGGGGCAGACACCCTGTCTTCTCCCTGCGGACCCAGCTCTTCACACCTGGCCCTTTCCGTCACCCTGCAGCCACACACCTCTAACAGTCGTGTCCCTGGTGGGGACTGACGCTGACATACCCGTGGTGAGAATCGGGAGCCTTCTCTGTTTTCCATTTCCCAAAGTTCCCGGGAACTGTCCCATGAGTGAGGCAGACGCATGCCCTCTTCCCAGAATCCCTGCCCCTGTACTTCTGGGATTGTGCGCCTCTGACCCATCCCACCCACTGCTTGCAATCTGGGTGCAGGAACTGGGGACTAAAAAGTCCAGAAGGGCCTCTTCTGTCATACTGTACCAAAGGGTGAGGAGAAGCAGGTTTTAACAAGGAGGGAAGACTGGATTATTTTTTAAACACTCTTTGCCCACGTCGGGCACATTTCCTTGAGGGCCTATTGTATCCAGATTTCACCCACTCCCATTCCAGCTCCCTCTGATGTGGCTTCTACTGGGTCTGGAAGGTGCTGCAGCATCGACACTCGGGAGGGCAGCCTTGCCCTCTTCATCCGCAGACATAGGACGGCTGCTGCCGCCAGCCTTCTCCCCTTGTCCCGGGTGTCCCGTTGGGGGGCCGTAGGAGCCCTGCCTGGACAGGCTGGGCAGGGTAAACGGCCTTGGAGGTTTGGGCTGCCAGGAAGAGGTTTAGGGCAGTCAGCCTAATACGGGCATTTGGAGGCTGGTAGGGGTTTCAGGTAGGGAAAAGGGAGGGACCTAGGACTGCGCGCAGAGACGCGCAGTTTTTGGAAGGTGCCAAAGAGGGCGCACCAGCCTTCAGGGCTTAGCACCGGCACTGGGGCCGCGTGCACCGGGGAATCAGGGTTGCCATGGACAACGCGTTCTGGGCGGAGCTGTTGTTGGGGTGGAGTTTGCGGGATGGGGGCGGGGCCTAGGGGGTCTGAGCCAGAAGCGGAGTTGTGATTGGCGGAGGCCGCTTGCTCTGGGCGGGGCCTGGGTGGGGGCGGTGTTGGCGTGGGGGCGGAGCCTTCGGAGGAGCGGGGAGAGGCGGGGGCGGGCCCTGAGAGCTGGAGCCGGAGGCGGAGACGTGGTTGGCGGGGACCGAGCGCCCTGGGAGGGGTCGGAGCCGGCGGGGGCGGAGCCGAGCGGGCGGGGGCGGCGCTGGGTCGCGCCGGGCCTGGGGCCGAGGCGGCGCGCGGCGCTGACAGCTTTGGTGGCTCGCGGCCTCCCGCCCCCCCGGGTGCCCGGCCCCGACCCGGCCTGGCCTGCCCCGGAGCCATGAGCCCCGGGCTGCTGCTGCTGCTCGGCAGCGCCGTCCTGGTCGCCTTCGGCCTCTGCTGCACCTTCGTGCACCGCGCTCGCAGCCGCTACGAGCACATCCCCGGGCCGCCGCGGCCCAGGTGAGCGGAGGGTGGGGGCGGGGGCCTGGATGGGGCGCTCGGATGGGGGGTCGGGGGGGCCGCGTCCAAGCCGGCGTGGGGACCGGGGGTCAGCCTCGCCTTTAGCGCGCGGCCGCTTGGAGACGGCGGCCAGGAGAGGGGCGCTAACTATTCTTAGTAACAAATTACTCACAGCCGCCGCAGCTGCTCGGCGCCCACCGCGCTCTGCTGCGCCCCACAAACGTGATGGCAGCGACAACCCTATTAGGTAGGCGCGATTGTTACCCCATCGTTCAGACGAGGAGACTGAGGCGCGCAGAGGCAAAGTCACCTGCCCAAGGTCACACAGTTGGTAAGCCTAGATTTAAACCTGGGTCAGCCTGTCTCTAAAGTGGGTGCTCTTAACTTCGGGACTTTGACGGGGTCACTCAACCGGGATCGGAACACACTGGACCTTGGCCACATTCCCGTTTGTGTTTCTGTCCAGGCAGGTCCTTTTTGTCTTCTCCTTAGCGCTTCCATTCCACCCTTGGCCCCCGCCCCCAGCCGGCTTGCCCCTCCGCACTAGAAGCTCCCCTCTCTGAAGCTTAAATCAGATGTGTCTTTTCTCTGCCCCACGGCTTCCCGCCCCTTTAGAACCGAATCTGATTCTCCAGTAAGTCCACTCCGTGGCCAGCAAGGCCCCTGCTGAGGTCTCAGAGCCCGCTCTGTGCTGTTCTCTCCCTCCTTGCTTGCTGCTACCCCGTCTCTCGTGCCCTTAGCCTCACCCCTCACCTCCCTGGATCTTGCTGCCTCTAACACCCTGGCCCCAAACTCCCCTGCCCCCCCCCACCAGTCACCAGTCACCTTCTTTTCACCTGTTGGCTGTCTGTCTCCCCTTTAGAATGTGAGCCCCCGGAGGGCAGGGCTGCTTTGTGTTTGCTTGTGTACCCCTTGCGCCTGGCACGTTGCAGATGCTCAATAAATACGTGTTTGATGAATGAATGAACGGTGGTATTAGACATACTTCTTAAAACCTCAGGACGTAAACATTCTGGAAGGCACCCACCTCCCGCACAGGCCAGATGCCCTGGTGTTAGAAGCCTGAATCTTGCTCGGTGGGTTCAGGAAAAGATCTCCGTGGCTGGGGGCAGAGAAGCCCCTTCTCCCTGCGGGTTCTGTGTGCTCCCAGGTGGCCCTGCCCACCTCGGGGTCTTCCTCTCCCTTGCCTGGCAGCTGAGTGGTCCTTCACATAGGCCATTCTCCCCTCAGCCTTCCAGACCTGGCTTCAGTGCTAACTCCCCAGGGAGCACCGCCCCCCTGTGTTCATTGTACAGACTCCCCGTCCCGGCAGCTGCATACTGATTTGTGCACCCTCATGCTGAATGTCTGTCTCTCCATAGGGCTGTGTCTGTCTTGTTCACTGCCGTGTGCAAGCAGCATCTGGCACTTGTAGCCGGTGCTCGCTAAGCAGGCATTCACGCTGGATGGTGGAACCCACCTACGAGCTCCTTTGGGCCCACGATGGCCCTTTCAGGTTTCCAGAGCAGCCATCCACTGCTTGCAGATGAGCTTTGCCTTGGTTTCGATAGGTCTCAGGACTTGATCTTCTCGGAAACCCGAGTGCTTCAAGCACCCCAGAACTAAGCCCCTCTATCTTGGGAAGGCAGAACCTCGGAGTCAACTCCTCTCCCCCTATCTTTTTTTACACAACGTTTTAAAAATAAAATTATGCATGCCATCAAATGTCCCCCCGTAAAGTGTGCGATTCTGTGTTTTTTGTACCGTGACAGAGTGGTGCACTGGTTGTGTGATAGTTCCAGAACATTGTCATCACCCTCCAAGGAACCCCCTCCCCATGAAGGCCTCGCTCCTCATTTCCCTTACAGCCCCCGCAGTCCTAGAAAAACCTGCTCTGTCTGTCTGGATGCGCCTGTTCTGGACATCTCAGAGCTGGGACCACAGAACCTGCAGCCTTTGTGCCTGGCTTGCTCCACCAGCCTGGGGTTTCAAGGGCCCCCCATGGAGTGACCCGCTCTGGCCTGCTTTCCTTTGGATGCCTGCATCCTCCCCCACATCTCACACCGGAGTCTGCATGTGACCTACAGGTGTGCGTGGGTGGATGGAGGCATGGGAGGAGGCTGAATAGAATTATGAGTGCTCTTTATGCTAAGGAAGTGAACTGACTGATGCATATGCAAAAAGATTTTGGATTAAACATTGGTGGGTGGTCAAATAGAAAAACACACCAAATGAAAGTTCTGGAACCTCTTCTAGCACAAATCAGCTGCTTTGGCATTCAAAGCCTGGAGCCCTGGGCATGATTGACAGCACCGTGGTTGACAAGAAGTCTGTGTATTGTGTCTCCACTGCTGGCATCTGCCGCCTGGGCTTGGGGCTTTGCCAGCTGGCAGGCAAGGAGCCCTCTGCCCCGGAGGAGGCAGCTACTGTGCCCCCCAAGCCCACCCTTCACCCTCCTTGTTTTGGAGGGGTCACCAGATGCTCTCTCCTCCAGGACGCTCCCCTGAGTGCCCCACTTATTCCAAACCACATCCTACTGCAATGATCCATGTAACTGCTGAAAACTCAGACCCAGGCCCTGCGCAGACACTTGTGACTCCTTTATTTCTCTGACACTGCCCTAAGCGTCCTCATCAGCTCCCACTCTCCTGGTAGTGCGGGCTGACTGTAGTTTTGACAATGAAAAGTCTCTCCAGCTTTTGTTTATTTCGAGGAAGCGTTTCACCTTCCGCTCCCGGGCAGCGCCTGGCACTCCTCCCACTCCTCCTTGCCAAGCTGCCAGGGCTGGAAGCATTCCTCAGGGAGCCCAGTGGCTCCCGGTGATGGGGAGACCCACCTCTGGCTTTGGGGGCCACCTTGCCCATGGACTTTGGGTGCCAGATGAGCACCCACCACCTCTCCTGGCGTGGGACACGGCCAAGGGGCCCGCCCCCACACATGAAGACTCCCCTTCATCCCTCTGGGTGGCCTCACAGAAGGCGCCCCAGAGGACTCTGCTGCAGTGACTGTCCAAGGCTCCCCCTGCCCCAGGAAACCGGGATTCCCACAGTGCCCATCACAGTGTAATAGGGGCTGGTGGGAGAGGCAGGTTTGGACTGTCCCCTCTCATGGCAGGCTGCTCTGCCTCGTCCAGTCTCGAGGGCATGCCAGGGCATGTCCCTTCTGTCTGCCCTCCACCCCAGTGTTCTACCATGTCCTCATTCCATCATCTCTTACCCATTTACTGCTAAAATCAGGTCTCTGGTTCTGCCTTTGCCTCTTAGCGCCCCCTGCAGGAACCGGACGGGACAGCTTGTTTCCTCTTGCCTGCCCATGGGACCTCGGAGTCCCTCACTGACCCTTCCAGGTGGCACTGGAGCCCAGTGGTTAGGAGCGCATGCTCTGGAGGCTCTGGGTTCATACTCTGTTCCTTCCCAGGTTAGTCAACACTCAGCACTCCCTCCCAAAATGTGCAGCTTTGGGGAGTGGCCGCCATGCTAGCTTTTTCTGGAAGTCCACCCGGCCAGTCTTGTGCGTGGTCCAGGCCCTCCTTTCTGCGGGCGGAGCTGTGTGAGTTCGAGGTCACTGCCCGGGGTGGCCTCAGCCGCCCGGGGCCACTCTGCACTTCCCAGCCTGTGTCTGCGCCCCACCCCACAGCCTGCTCCCCTTGTCTTCCACCCCTCCCCTACCCTCCTTCCCTTTATTCTCACCTCCTACTTCCCCAGCGAAAGCCAGGGTGCAGCTGCCACAGCTGCCCCTTCCCCGACAGCCCACACACCCGTCCCCCTCCCCGCGGGCGGCCCTGCTCCTGGCCAAGGGCAAGCTGCTCAGCGGCCGGCAGCCCTTGCCTGCGGTGTGAGCGTTCCTCCTCTTCTCATTTTATGTAAGATGTCATTAAAGAAGACTTCTTCGCCCTCTCGCTCCTCTCCAATTGGCACCCCGGGAGCCCGCCTGCCTTCAGTGCCCTCTTGTTCTGTCTTGAACCCACCACCCCCGCTGGCCACTTTGGTCAAGGTGCATCGCGCCATTGTGGGATGAGACCCCACAGGTGCGGGGTTCCCCTGTGGTCTGGCCCCGCATCCACCTGGCCGGGGCACCCCCGCCCCTCCTCATCCTGCCTCTTCGCTGGCCTCCGGCTCCAGCTCTCCTCTGAGCCCCCCGCTTCCTCCTGCTCAGCCTTCCCGGCTCTTGTACCTCTCTGCCTG